GTAGAGATCTGTTTAGATTTTTTAATGAATATCTCTGCTCCGCTACATTCACAGCCGGATTTCCTACAGTGTCAAAATTGTGCTGACGGTAGGCTGTTTAAAGGTAAAAGGGGATTAAATATACATATTAAACGATGCCATAGTAAAAGTATTTCGGCTTCACAGCCTGCCGTAGAAATTCATAACTTTTTTAGCAATTCCTCTATTGACACAAATGTTTCCCTTTTTTCGGAGCAAATTTACAATTATTATCGTAATGTACCAGTGGTTAAAAGAATTCCTAGAGGTGCGAGGATGCAGCTTGCTAAAGCATTGTCATGCACTATTCAAAATTGTTTCACTAATAGTGAAAATAGTTGGCAAAAATTATTTACTTTCGCGTATTCTCATTTTCATTTTGATAAAACAATAAATAAATCAATTACGTCTCAACTAAAAGAGACATCTTTTCAAAATTTAGATTACCCAATTAATACTCATTTATCTCGACCACGTCCTAAATTTGATTTAAAAAAAGTAGTTGAGTCGAAAGTAATGGATGGCGACTTAAAAAATGCATCCCGTATTTTATTCTCAGACGACATCCTGGCTCCTCGTAATGTCGAAACTCTTGAAAGCCTTCGTCAAAAGCATCCTTCGGTCAAACCGTCTCAGGGTTTACCGCTGCCTCCCAAGACTTCTATGCAACCTTTACAAATTTCGGAAAAAGACACTTTAGAAGCAATTATGTCATTTTCGAATGGCTCTGCTGGCGGCATTGACGGAATTACGCCTCAACATCTCAAAGATCTTGTAAGCGCTTCTGCCGGTGACGCCGGCGGAGTACTCCTTAAAGACATTACAAAATTATGTAACTTTATGCTTTCTGGTAATGTTAATCCAAATTTCATTCCATTTTTATATGGGGCAAGATTATGTGCCTTCAAAAAAAAGGATAACGGTATCCGTCCTATTGCCGTTGGTTCCACATTTCGACGCTTAACTTCAAAATTAGCTTGCAGGTACATAATCTCTAACCTTAAGACCAAATTTCAGCCTACTCAACTAGGTTTTGGCACTAGAGGTGGCTGTGAGGCGGCGGTACATTCAGTGCGTACATTTTTAACAAACTCTGATGCAGATGTTCTTGTGAAGGTTGACCTAAGGAATGCTTTTAACTCTATCGATAGGGTAACCTTGCTGAAAGAAGTGGCTAACAATACCCCCGAAATTTATCATTACGTTTGGCAATGTTATAGTCAAAATACTAACTTGTTTTACGAAAACCATGTTATCGATTCTGCTGTTGGTGTTCAGCAGGGTGACCCTCTGGGTCCAGCACTTTTCAGTTTGGGAATTCAACCCATTATTTCAAATTTGAAATCCAAGCTGAATGTCTGGTACCTAGACGACGGTACACTGGGAGGTAGAGCAGATGACGTCCTCAGCGATCTTACTCATATTTTTCGAAATTTTAAAAATATTGGCCTTGAACCAAATAGCAATAAATGTGAAATATTTTTTTCCAATAATTTATCTACTTCTCATAGAGACACTTTAATTCAAAATTTTAATCATATTTGTCCAGGAATAAAAACTGTCAATACGGAATCAATATACCTGCTAGGTGCCCCGTTGTTTTGCGATAGTATTAAACCTGTTTTAAAAACAAAATTTGATCAGTTTTTAAACCACGTTGATAAATTGTATAAATTAAACCCCCACATAGCTCTTACTATTTTAAAATATTGTCTTCTTGTACCTAGATTTACATACTTACTCCGCTCGAGTCCAGTCTGGAAATGTTCGGATATTTTACAAGATATTGATAATAATCTTAAAATTGCTATAGAAAAAATTCTAAATTTAACTTTAAATACAACAGCCTGGACTCAAGCTACTTTACCTATAAAATTTGGTGGCATTGGTGTGAGAAATCTTTCTAGCGTTGCATTGCCTGCTTTCCTTGCTTCCGTGCATAGTGTCAGTGACTTATGTAACATAATTTTAAATAATAAAGTAGACCTATGCTTTGCTACGGAGGCAGGGCAGACATGGCAAACGCTCTGTCCTGGTGAAAATATTCCACTGGAAGTTAACCAACAAAAACAGTGGGATATTCCGTTGGTACAGGGCGTGCAGAAAGATTTGTTTCATAATTTCCATAGTGACCAAGATAAGGCACGCCTTCTAGCTGTTTCGACTAAGGAATCTAGTCACTGGTTACACGCTTTACCATCAAGTAATCTCGGCACATTACTTGATAGGGAAAGCTTGCGTATTGCCGTAGGAATCCGACTAGGAGCAGCGATTTGTCAACCCCATCAATGCCCCTGTGGTAGCAGCGTCGACAAGTTTGGGCTCCACGGACTTTCATGTAAGAAAAGCGCTGGTAGGTTTTCACGACACAGTTCTTTGAACGATGTTGTCCGAAGGGCTCTTGCCTGTATAAATGTTCCGTCGGTTTTAGAGCCTTGTGGAATATTTAGAGACGATGGCAAGAGACCCGACGGTATGACATTGGTCCCTTGGGAGAGAGGTAAAGCCCTAGTGTGGGATGCTACTTGCGTAGACACTCTGGCGGCCTCTCATCTCAGGGGTACCTCGTTTAAAGCCGGGGCGGCATCAGAGGCAGCTGAACTGAGTAAGTGGCGCAAATATGAGTCTCTGAGAGATGACTACATATTTGTGCCATTTGCTGTAGAGACTATCGGTCCGTGGGGTCCACGTGCGGTGAAGTTCCTAAAGGAACTCCATCCGCGGCTGGTCGTTGCTGCTGGTGATAAGAGGGCTGGTTCTTTCCTCGCTCAAAGGCTAAGTATAGCCATTCAGCGGGGAAACGCAGCCAGCGTTCTTGGCACGATACCGCGGGGAGTAGGACTATATGATAATTAAGTTTCTAGTTTTAGTTTTTTTTTTTATTATCAAAGTTTTTAATATTGTAGATAAAATTAAGTATTATGTAAAGTTGTATTATGTAGTTACTTGTTGATTTCTTTTACATATTGTGATTTTACTTCCATAATAGGTCGACATTACCATTCCTTATGACGAGAACCTCGTGAAAGCCGAAACAGATAAGGTGACAAAATATCTGGACCTGGCTCACGAGGTTACCGGCATGTGGGGTGGTCTGCCGACCGAAATTATTCCTGTGGTCGTTTCTGCGAACGGGTTAATCCCAGTCAGCCTCCCGGGTCATCTGAGGCGACTGGGACTCCGTGACGGACCGCTCCAGGCTCAAATGCAGAAGGCGGTGCTCCTCGATACCGCCCGCATCGTCCGCCGGTTTCTTTCCCTTTCTCCCTAACCCTCGGCCGTCTGGTCTCCCCTGCCGAGGGCTTCCATCTGGTTGGGTTTTTATATATTTATGTATTTTTTATGTATTTATTTTATTTTATTCATATTTATGTATGTTTACCATTTTCATTTACAATTATATATTTATACTGCCCAACCAGATGAGAAAACTTTATAGATACCCCATAATAATAGAAAGGCGTAGGGAAGTGACGACCCCATCGCCCGCTGACGTAACAGTTAAGTGACAAAACTGCTATGTCAGCGCAGTCAGTCAGTGCCTTGCCAAGAGGTGTGAGCGCCGTGCCTCGGCAGTATTGAGGGTGCAAAGGCCCGTTTGTGCTTACGGCCACACTATTAAACGGCACCGGGTCTGGGCGTCTCCCGTTAATTGACGCCCAATTTAATGGATGATGGAAGATAATAGAACGCGCATAGGGCCGCTGCCTGGGGGTCCCCGGGGCGCGTCTGGAGCTGGCGCTGGACGTGACAGCATGCGAGCCGCCAGCCGAGCGCGAGGTGCTGCACGACCACCTAGCAGCCCCTCGCGTCCATCATCCCCACCAGACGGCTTGGTGTCGGCGGGGTCCTCTCGGACTCGGCAAGCGGCACCCGCCGCTGGTGGAGTACGCCGCATGCGTTGGACAAAAAATATGAACATAAACGCATTGCGGGTGTACTATAGGGCGAAAGGGGAAGAAACTGGAGGGATAGCGTATCGGGCTCGGATGCATCGCTTTTTTGCTGAGCTTGAGCCGTCAGTTCCCGTCACGGAGCAAAACCTGGTAGACCGAGTTCGGTACATCATACGCTCGAAAATATTTGATGATGCCGAACTCGAACGACTACGACGTGAGGCTATTCCCTCATCGAATGAACCGGCTATAGCTGGGGATGTGGCTCTTCAGGCCACAGACCAGCAGCCACATATAGAGGGCGCCATGGATCTCCCTGCTCTGGTTGATTCAGGCGATGATGGAATGGTCACCCAAGAACTAGAGCAGATGAGGAGTAAATTGGAGGAGGCGATTGTGGAAACGCGCAGTACGCCTCTCGAAAATCGACCGCGACTCCCGCGCATACCCCTAAGCAAGCGGAATCGGGCTGTCGTGAGGGCTCTCAACCCAATGCTGGTGACCTATTTGGAAGCCAGCCGGGACCTTTGCGAAACGGACTCAATTCTTTTTGGCGCCGCACTGGCAGTTTGCCGTATTGTTGGCGCCAAAATTCCCACGGCTGGACGCGCTACAAGACAAAGTAGCGCCATCCCAGCCTGGAGAAGAAGGATTGAGGACCGTATCGTAAAGGCAAGGGCCCTCATCGGCAGGCTGATAAGCTTCAGGTCGGGCAATAATAGGCCGCGAATTGTGCGCACCGTCAGAATGGCGTTTGCTGGGACAAATATCAGTTTGTCCCAGCCGGATATAACGCAAAAACTGACGGAGCGCATAGACGACCTGAAGCAGAGAATCGCTGCTTGGGGGAAGCGGATTCGGCGATATACCGAGAGGTCGACACGGTTCAACCAGAATTGTCTCTTCCAGAGTGATCAGAAGAGGCTATATAAATCATTGGAGCGACCAATGGTACGTGGAACGGGCCAAGCACCGAATCAGGCCGACACTGTCGCATTCTGGCGCGGCCTGTGGTCAGAGCCCGTAAACCACAGCGAAGGCCCTTGGACGGAAGTTGTGGTGAGTCAGTGTGCGAATCTTACGCCCATGGACCCCGTCATTATAACGCCGGACGATGTAGCTGAGGCGGTCCGAAGGGCCCCGAACTGGAAAAGTCCGGGGCTCGACGGGCTGCATCACTACTGGCTGAAGGGGTTCGTGGTGTGTCACGCTGTGCTCGCCCGACAATTTCAAGAGGCTCTCGACCTAAAGTCGCTCCCGAGCCTCTTCACTACTGGGATCACTCATTTGGTTCCTAAAGACCGGGATACCATAGACCCGAGCAAATACCGCCCCATCACGTGTCTACCCACGATATATAAGACATTAACATCTATTTTGAGCGCGAGAATCACTCGTCACCTGAACTCAAATCAGGTGATGTCGCGCGCTCAAAATGGATGTCGGGGCGGTGGTCGTGGAACCAAGGAACCACTCCTCATTGACGCGGTCATTGGCAAAGTGGTTAAACGCAACCGTCGGAACCTATCCGCCGCCTGGATAGACTACAAAAAGGCATTCGACTCGGTGCCTCATACATGGCTGAAGAGGGTCCTCGAGCTGTACAAGGTTGACTGTACAGTTAGAGACTTCCTCGGGCAGTGTATGGGGCAGTGGAGTACGATCCTTTGTCATCTAGGCGAGCGGATGACGGCTGCGGAGAACCACATAAGGATAAGAAGGGGTATCTTCCAGGGTAGAGTCCAATCTGGTTCTGCCTCTCTCTGAACCCTCTCAGTACCTTACTGGAGGGCTCCGGGAGGGGATTTCAGCTTCGGAGAGGAGGTACAAAAGTGACCCACCTTTTCTATATGGATGATCTCAAGTTATTCTCCTCCAGTCGCTCTCATCTTGTGGAATTGCTAAACATCACTTGTGATTTTAGCAATTCTATTGGAATGGAGCTGGGGAGGGATAAGTGTGCGGTCCTCCATGTCGAAAGGGGTAGGGTTGCTAACTCTGAGGGCATAGATTTATCTATGCCCATCAACATAAGGACCCTTTCCGAGGCTGAAACATACCGATACCTGGGTATGTCACAGAACATCGGTGTAGATGAGGCGGGTATGAAACAGTCAGTTTGCGATGTGTTTTATGCACGCTTGACCAAAGTGCTTAACAGCCTTTTGTCCGGTGTGAATAAGACGCACGCATATAACGGTTGGGTCATGCCTGTTCTCATGTATACCTTTGGCATACTTAGGTGGACTCAGACCGAACTAAACGCTCTGGACAGAAAAGTCCGCACTATAATGACGTCCCACAGGATGCATCATCCGAGATCGTCAGTAATGAGGCTGTACTTGCCGCGGAAGCATGGTGGGCGCGGCTTTTTAAGCACGCTTACCATGCATAATCGCGAAGTGTGCAGCCTCCGTAATTACTTTCTGACGAGAGCGGATGATCCATACTATAGGGACGTTATTTCTTGTGATAAAGGACTGACCCCTCTATCCTTAGCCAACGAGCAATGGCAAGACCCAGCAGTACAGTGCATTTCCGACCGGGAGGCCGTATGGAAGGAGAAGGAGCTCCACGGGAGGTTCTACAAGGCTCTACATGAGCCTTTCGTAGACACAGTCGCCTCCCTTCACTGGCTACGTTTCGGTGACCTCTTTGGGGAAACCGAGGGTTTTGTCTGTGCGATACAGGATCAGGTTATTAAGACCAACAATTATCGGAGATACATCCTAAAGGATGGCGCCGTCGACATCTGTCGAGCTTGTCGCCATCCCGGTGAGTCACTTAGGCATATCATCTCCGGTTGTTCGGCGCTTTCTAACTCTGAGTATTTGCACAGACACAACCTAGTAGCCAGGATTCTACACCAGGAGCTCGCTCTGAAATACGGTCTCGTGGATCGGAAACTGCCATATTATAAGTACTTGCCGGAAGCCGTGCTCGAAAATGACCGCGCCAGGCTCTACTGGGACCGGGCCATCATCACAGACAGGACTATTCTTGCGAATAAGCCTGATATTGTGCTGATGGACCGGGCACAGTCAAGGATATTTTTGGTCGACATTACCATTCCCTATGACGAGAACCTCGTGAAAGCCGAAACAGATAAGCTGACAAAATATCTGGACCTGGCTCACGAGGTGACCGACATGTGGGGTGGTCTGCCGGCCGAAATTATTCCTGTGGTCGTTTCTGCGAACGGGTTAATCCCAGTTAGCCTCTCGGGTCATCTGAGGCGACTGGGACTCCGTGACGGACCGCTCCAAGCTCAAATGCAGAAGGCGGTGCTCCTCGATACCGCCCGCATCGTCCGCCGGTTTCTTTCCCTTTCCCCCTAACCCTCGGCCGTTTGGTCTCCCCTGCCGAGGGCTTCCATCTGGTTGAGTTTTTATATATTTATGTATTTTTTATGTATTTATTTTATTTTATTCATATTTATGTATGTTTACCATTTTCATTTACAATTATATATTTATACTGCCCAACCAGATGAGAAAACTTTATAGATACCCCATAATAATAGTATTTTTTCAGGCTTTGTTACTCCCATTTGAAATATCACTAAATATTAAAAACAAAATGAAAATATAATTATAAGGATACATTTAACAAAAGACAATTCAACCTAAATCATAAGTTAATACTAAAATTGCCCCCAAAATAAGATTCGTACTATCTATTTACAGTTATTGTGGCGATGCACGACACGCCAATATTGTTCTCTGAGGATCTCGTTCTCGGAATCGTGAATGCGGGGCCAAAAAGTTACAACCCGAGATCTAACGCACTGCAGTATTTGGACAGTTTCATCAGAATGCGTTAAACATTATTATACTGCACTCATCTACTGAGACGTGTATTTTTGGTGCTGTCCAACTAAACCCAACAAGTATTGAAGCATTGATAACATGCTCTAGACAGGGTCAGCCTTGCCTTAGGACTGCACCGCGCAAGCCGGCGTGCGAGCATATTACGCCGAACCGCTAGAGCTCTTCACGTTTTATATCAAGGTTACCACGCAGATCTTCAGTCAGGATATGCTTCAGGTACCTGAATAGATCCACTCTCGCAATAGGTTCACCGTCCAGAAATACCAACGGAATCTCCTCCGGGCCTCTGCCCGAGCGGAACACTATCATCTGTATTTTTTAACATTATACTTCAGGCCCGGCGATATGGAAACCTCTTAGAAAAAATCGAAGGTATTTTAAATTCCTTCACATATATGCAGATGACGAACTTTTTGCTTTGACTATTTTCATTTACATTTTATGTTATTTGTTAAAATTAAAATATTATTTTCGACAATAATTTTTATGAAGTGGAGCCATGATTCAGCTATATTAGCAGTATAGTTGTAGCACAAATGGGTCGGCTCGACCGGGGAGACACCACGCTCTCACACAATACCAGCGTAAAATAGCAGCTTAATGCTGCTGTGTTTCGTATGGAGAGGCGGAGACCCTTTTCACTGAAAACAATGCAATCTTGGTCCTCACGGGTGGCAACGCATCTGCATTTTAATTCGTAATCGAGGATAGATGTCGACGTTTATGGGTTACTATCGAATAGATTGTGTCTTCATTTGTCACCCTTATGTTATAAAAATATATTGTACTTGCATACAATTTATCCAATTACCTTAGAAGTCGCGATGGCTCCTTTTGAATCTTGTACATTCCCGTAAAAACAAACCTATAAAATTGGCTTTTGAACACCGTGTTTTTTCTCAACCTTATTGTTTAAAATTTATTTCGTTATAAATATATTATGATATTATTTTGGACTAATAATTGTTTCCTTGTTTTATTTGCAAAAGAGGGCCGTACGGGCGATTTATAACTTTAATTGTGAAGAGTCCTTCAAAGAAAAATTAAAGCAATAAATTTAATATATTTGTTATCTCAATATATTTATGAAAATGTTATATATCTACTACATAAAAACATAAGTAGCTTTGATAAGAATAAATATATTCATATTTTAAACACTAGGAATGACCATAAGCTTGTAATGCCAGTTACTAGACTCGACAGAATTAGAAATTCATTTATGCGGCAATGAATGAAATGCTTTTACAACAAAATCTCAGAACATGTTCAAAGTTTGTCAATAAGCAAGCTGAAAAGTTTTATTAAAGAAACATTGTACAAAAAGGTTTATTATATTACCAAGGAATATTTGAACGAAAATAACCCCTGGGAATGAGGTGATCGCCACCATGCTAGTTCTATTAAAATTCATTTAAAAAATTGTATAGAACTTTGTAGTGATATAAATGTTTAAAAAATTCCGCTGGCGTTTTTGCTGATTCTTCCCGGGATAGAGGTATTTTCTGAACCAGGCAAATATAAAAATGGCTAAATATTTATTATGTTATATTCAATATTAAATAAAAATTATTATATTCCATTCAATGTTTAATGAAAAATAATAATAAATACGAGAAACTCCTACGTAAAAGAAGTTCCTTTACTTCAAATGACTTGTATTAGCTGACTTGAAAAAAGAAGGAGGTACACAAATCAACTGTGTTTTTTGGTCGTTTATTATGTGATGTTTGTTAATTATGGACCGATTTTGATGATTCTTCGTCATTAAATAAGAAAAACTTCTGGGGTGGTATATACATTTTTAGAGAAAATTTCCAGCCCTAAGAGTAGCCTAAATAGGTGATAAAATTTTTAATGTAACAATTTAGACGATATTGAAATTATGAAATTCCTTATTCCAATCAAAGGGGTAAAATAAATACTTGCATTGTACTTTTTATGATTATAATATAATATGTATATTTACGTTAATGTTTCGCCGTTTTTAAAAAGAACACGGGAAAAAATAAATACATTTCGATGTAGATTTTTAAGCTTCGTGAAATTTTTTTCACCATTTATAAGCCAGCCGCACATTCTGTTAATCGTTTCCGCACAATCTCCAAGTGAATGGGCCCTTTTCATATATGAATCAAGGCAGGGGTGTGTGGTTTTTAGAGCACTTTTCTTTATTACTACCATTCATTTTGAAAAATAAAATCCAGGTTAATGATCTGTTGCCTTAGGTAGACAAAAGCAATTATTTTTTCAACCGATTTAAAAAGATTTTTTTTAGAAAGATTTCTAGGTAAACCAATTGTAATGATAATTTTTCTGTTTTAAAGCTAGTGCTTTTCTTGTATTAGCATATAAATTTGATCAAGATTTGACCAGTAGATAGATTTTGAGTAATCCTTAATAATGTGTATTTAATTGACTTCCACTACATTGAAGTCGGTTGTACTATTTTTTTTTTAATTTTGCCACCTGTTCGAAATAAAGTTTAATTTTTAATGACCTTCTAATTATAATGAATAAAAGAATTCATGAAAACCACCCATGATTCAACACGGGGTAGTGGCTCTTACATGACCCCCGCGAACCGATGAGGAACAAAGGTTGGAGAGTATCAGCTTCGTACCTGCAAGCGGAGTTTCGAATTTTACTATATTAGATGTACTGACGACCTAGTAAGACATACAAGTAGTTGCATGTAGAATGTAGATGCAGGTCGCTTAGAACCTATATTGTGGCATAACTTGAGGGAGGGACTTGGGGGAGGTCTAAATGCATCTGTGGACTTGTAAACAATTGAAACTATGATGGTAAATGGTGATGACTGTTGATGGTGTTGATGGTGATGGGTTACTAAACTTAAGAAGAAAAAATTAAGGCAATTATCTTTATATATATACATATACTAGCGGTTCGCCTCGGCTTCGTACGGGTGATTTC